CTTTATGTTTTGGATCATTGTCTTGTTGGAAGATAAATCTCCGTCCCAGTCTCAGGTCTCTTGCAGACTCAAACAGGTTTTCTTCCAGAATGGTCCTGTATTTGGCCCCATCCATCTTCCCATCAATTCTGACCATCTTCCCTGTCCCTGCTGACGAAAAGCAGGCCCAAACCATGATGCTGCCACCACCACGTTTGAGAGTGGGGATGGTGTGTTCAGGGTGATGAGCTGTGTTGCTTTTACGCCAAACATATCGTTTTGCATTGTGGCCAAACAGTTGGATTTTGGTTTAATCTGATCAGAGCACCTTCTTCCACATGTTTGGTGTCTCCCAGGTGACTTGTGGCAAACTTTAAACAACACTTTTTATGGATATCTTTGAGAAATGGCTTTCTTCTTGCCACTCTTCCATAAAGGCCAGATTTGTGCAGTGTACGACTGATTGTTGTCCTATGGACAGACTCTCCCACCTCAGCTGTAGATCTCTGCAGTTCATCCAGAGTGATCATGGGCCTCTTGGCTGCATCTCTGATCAGTCTTCTCCTTGTTCCAGATGAAAGTTTAGAGGGACGGCCGGGTCTTGGTAGATTTGCAGTGGTCTGATACTCCTTCCATTTCAATATGATTGCTTGCACAGTGCTCCTTGGGATGTTTAAACCTTGGGTAATCTTTTTGTATCCAAATCCGGCTTTAAAATTCTCCACAACAGTATCTTGGGCCTGCCTGGTGTGTTCCTTGGTCTTCATGATGCTCTCTGCACTTTGAACAGAACCCTGAGACTATCACAGAGCAGGTGCATTTATACGGAGACTTGATTACACACAGGTTGATTCTATTTATCATCATCAGTCATTTGGGACAACTTTGGATCATTCATAGATCCTCACTGAACTTCTGGAGGGAGTTTGTTGCACTGAAAGTAAAGGGGCCGAATAATATTGCATGCCCCACTTTTCAGTTTTTATTTGTTAAAAAAGTTTGACACATCCAATAAATTTCATTCCATGTCACAATTGTATCCCACTTGTTGATTCTTCACAAAAAAATAAAATGTTATATCTTTATGTTTGAAGCCTGAAATGTGGCAAAAGGTTGAAAAGTTCAAGGGGACGAATACTTTCGCAAGGCACTGTATTCTCTAGGCCACTTGCTGAATTTTTAGTACTGCAGGTATGACACGTTTTAGATGGCTCAACTTAAGTTCACAAATATTAATGCTTTAGATTTAATAAAAATTCATTCATAACATCCTCATGACATTCATATATAGGAATTTGAAGTGGGCACATGGCTATGGGTGGTGGGATGACTTTACTCTCACCCCCTGTGCCTGTGCTCACTTACAACGGTTACATTTAGACACTAGGGTTTGGATAGAGTTGGGGTGGAGGGGAAACTGGCACCTTGCCAGCCTTTGCTCCTTCTTCTTTCCTTTTTAATGGCACTCTACAACAACACACATCAACAGCACATCTAGGGGTGGGGGTGTATGTGTCGGGGTCTTATTTTTATTTATTTATTTATTTATTTTTTCTCCTCTTCCTACCCACCTAGTTCCCTGACTGCCATTCCGGGGGTGGGGTCCGGGAGAAGGGCAGGCCGTCGGGTGTTGACCAGGACTATGTGGGGGTTCGGGGTCTGGGGGTTGCCGTGGGCGGTGCTGGCGCTGTGCTCTCCCTGGGGTTGTTTGGACCCCCTGAGCTTGGCTCTTGGGTGCCATGGTTGGCCCGCTGACCGGGGTGGCTGCCGGGGCCTGGCAGGCGGTCGGCTGGGGGTGCGTGTTTGGTTGTTGACGGTGTGTGGGGGTGGTTGGTGGCGTGTCCTCTTCATGGTGGGGGGGTGTCCTGTCGGCGGGGCATGGCCTGGGCCGGTTCTGGGGTATTGGCTCTTCTCCGCTCAGGAATGAATGGGTTTACCTCCTGGGTTTGGGCATGGGCTGCCCCCTGTAGAGGGCGGGTACATGTCTTGGACCTGGGGGGTTTAGAGTGTGTATCGGGAATAAGAATGAAATGTATCGTTATTGTATGTCTTTGAGTGAATGAATGTGAGATTGAGGTTGGGATAGTGTGATTGTGTCTGTGTATGAATGGATATTTGTTAGGCCAAGACTCGGACTGCCCCCTCTTTGATACAACTGGGGGTGCTTGGCATCGCGCCCCTATCGCGCGGCCCCCTGGTGGGGTGTGCCCTTGCCTGCCGGCGCGCTTGGGGCCCTTGGTATCGGGGGCTGGGCGCTTGGGCGTGTGTCGGCTCGGCCTGGTGTCTGCCTGGTGGGGCTCGGGTCCTCTGGCCCTGTCAGGCCTTGGCCTGGGTGGTGTGGGTCCTCGGTGCCCGGGCCTCGGTGCCTGGACCTGGACCTACATCGGTGCGGCGGGTGCCGACGGGGGCCTATGAGTTTGTCGCTGTTGGCCCCGGGGGGTCACTGTATGTGGTTGCTGGTGGGGATCTTCCGGTTCTCCCCTGTGGTCCGTTCTGGGGGGTGGGTGAGTGGTTCGTCCTGTGTGGGTGGCTCTGGGGGCTCCGCGGTCGGGGTCCCTCCTGGGGTCTTGGACTCTGGTCCCCCCTTTTTCATCTGCCTCTGGTCTTGGGGGTCGGGTCTCTGCTGCTTCACAGTTACTAATAAATGTTCTATTAGAGAAGCCTTATACACTTATGCATGCTCACAACCACACACAAATAGAAGCAGGGATGCTTATTTAGGCTTTATATGTAGATATATAGATATGTATGTGAGTGTATATTCATGTGTATGTATGTATGTATGTATATAGGCGTAGGTATGGGTATATATATTTATGGAAACTTACTGCAAAGCCATGAATATTTTAAGTTCTTTATACATATGTATTTTGTTGCTATGTTTTGTCATGTTCTTTGCAGGTGAACAGACAGTGGCCGGGTGTTTTGACGTGTGCTCTATTTGTATATATTTCTTATATTTTGGAGTCTTACTTTGTCTTTTCTTTCTTTCTATCCTATTGGAAAAAAAAAAAATAAAAAAAAAAAAATAAATAAAAAAAAAAACCTACACTAGATAGTCACTATAATAAATATTTCATAATAATGGTGTGGAGAGGATGGCTGTAAGGGGAGAAGGGAGGCCATCACAAAAAAAAAAAAAAAAAAAAAAAAAAAAAAAAAAAAAAAAAAAAAAAAGATTTAATAAAAATTATAATTAGACCAGTGAACTAATCTTATTTTCTTTATAAAACAGAGCTAATCTCCTTGATGTATCTCAATATAAGTGAATTATTATAAATAAAATATATATTTTTTAAAACCCACAAAGCACAATAGATAAGGCAATTTACTTTATAAATGTTGTTTTTGGATTTTAATACTGTTGATATTTGAAAATTAGGTGGTGAAATACAAGAGGGAGAAATGTTTCTTCCCATCATCTCCCAAAAATACAGTATAGATCTGTCCCGAATTCGCTCTCATTTCATTCCTGGATTTCCACTTGATGTGGCGGTATGTCAGAAATAAAGAAATAGATAATACTCTTTTTAAATGAGCCTAAAGATCATTTCTAAAAGTCTTTTCTATTATAGATGGCAATGTATCTCCCAGACAACACCCCAGCAGCTGATGTACCAATAAATATTACTATTACTGTAGGCACCACACAGGAACACTGGCAAGGCACCACTGACCAGGAGGGAGCAGTGTATCCTGTCTTTAATATTCCTAAAGCAGCTGAGATTACAGTTGAAGTTAGTATTCGCAAATTCAGTTGAAGACTTTTGCAAATTCCCTCTGATTTACTTGTAACTTTTTCCACTTCTGTTTCATGCAGGTGTCAGCAGATGGTATTCAAAAGAGAAAAATTATAAGTGCTACTCAGCAAACTAAAAACTATCTTCATGTGGCAATAACAAACAAGATGTACTCTGTGAATGATTTTCTAATGGTTACATTTAACACTATCAATGGACCAAGTAAAGGCCATATATACTACATGGTGAGGAACACAACTGATTGAATACAACACAGGTTAAAAAAAAACAACACTTGGTCAAGATTGTTAATTTGAACCTGGATGTGTTACAGATTTTAAGCCGTGGGATCATAATAAAAACCGGCTCACTTCTAATAGGTACATCAGTTGAACATAAAGTACAAATAACCACTGATATGGTCCCATCTTTCCGTCTGATTGGTTATTATTATGGCACGAATAGTGACATCATAGCTGACTCGGTGTGGGTCGATGTCAGAGATGAATGTGAGATAAAAGTCAAGGTGAGTAAACATAACAGATAAGAGTGAGACAGTAAACATTTTAAATCAGTTGACTGCAAGTGATGAAATGTGTTAATTATTTCTGCAATAAGTGGGACTGTTAGATATAAGAACAGTATGAAGTGTTTGGATTTTTCTTTTTTACTTAAGTTAGGGCTGCAAACTGACTTTCACCTTCAAAGTCAAAGTTAGGCTGCAAAAGTTACCATGGTGGGTTTTAAGAGGCTGAATGTAAAAATATACTATATAGATTGCCTACAACTTTTGACATGAGATTCACTTCCAAATGCATTGCTTTAATGTATTCAATAATTTTAAATGAACATTTTAAAGATTTTTTTTTCTGTCTTTACTTCATTTCAGGTAGAACACAAAGGAAAACCTAAGCCTGGACATAGTTCTGTGCTAGAACTGGATTTACATGGTCAGTCAGCTAAAGTGGCTTTGCTGGCTGTGGATAAAGCATTCTATGCTCTCAAAGCTAATAATAGACTCACAGACAAACAGGTTATATTTTACACACTGTGCTTTTTTAAATAATTTTAAATCAATACAGGAATCCAAGCTTTTGCTTTCCCTTTCTAGGTATTTTCTGATATGAAGTCATATGACCTTGGCTGTACATATGGAGGAGGAGCGAACTCTTTATCAGTGCTCATGGATGCTGGTCTTTCTTTTATATCTCAGTCTGCAATACGCTCGAGACAGAGTAAGACATAAACAACTTCTTATGAATCAAAACATTTTAAAGATTATTTCCTGTTATATGGACTTGTGAGTTTTTAATAAACAAGTTTTAAAACTTGCTCTTCTATAGATCCTATAATTTAGTTAGAGCTCTTAAGGTTTCAAGATTACCACTAAAACAGATTTTTGATTCAAAACCACATTTTTTTTTTACAAGTTTCTCTCCATGTCATCTGGCACCAAGAAGTCAAAGTGTCAATTTGACTATTTACACAAAAGGAAACAGAAAGAAAAACACAGTAACTAGATTGTGTAAAATAAAGGAAAAGCATTATCCAACAGTACCACTATTACACAATATTTGTTACTTTTTACCGTGTTTTATCAGTAAATGTAACAGTAAGAATCAGAAAGAAGGATCCTCCTGGGGCATCACAAGGCATTACAAGTGTGGTCAGCTCAAGGATGAGGTCATGCCTGGAAAACCTCCAGAGGAAGGTCATCAAAAAACATTCTCAGCTCAGCTGATTTATTTTGATCTGGACCTCTGGAGTTGTATCAGCTCTACCCCATGCCTCTCAAGTATCTGAGTTCCTTATCCTATTTCGTAGGTGGAGCCCAGATACCCAGACAAACAACCAATGGTAACAAAATCCCAATATTCAAAATAATCACACAAAATGAAACTTCTTTGCATCAAGTTTCTTTTCATGTGTCAACTGGTTTGGGTTACGACTGAAACTTAATGTCACATATTTTCAGACAGCTGCTCTTTCACAATAAATAATATTGCTCAGACTTCTGCAATATATTGAACAAACTGCACAACTAATTAAACAAATAAACTTGTTTTCATTATATTACTGTTATTAGTTAATAATGGAGAAGGCCTGTTTAGCCTTGAAGACACATTTGCCTGTGTGTAAAAGCTCTGATAATAGAATGACGTACACTAAATCCTCAATTGGTGATTTATTTATTTTTTTCCTAACAAGGCCATTTTTGACCCATGGTGGCCTGGAGCCTAAAACACTTTTTGATCCTCATACACTTGGAAACTCTTGACAAACCATATTTTTGGTTTGTTATGGTCAATCCATGATGAGCACAGAAGGATGTAGGATGTCACTCATTTGGAGGCTATTCCTCCCAAGCACACTACTCTAGGTGGCTTTGCCCATGAGACTGAACTTTCTCAGGATCATGACAGTATCTCCAAAGTAAACCTTTTCCTGGCCAACATTCAGAGGCTCCAAGAAGGTTTGGTAATCTGAACAGCAGTTCAGCTGATAAGTAGTTTTAGTTGATAAGTACAAACAACAACCAAAACTTTCCCATCTTTAACAGACAAGTGCAGTGAGGCAAGTCTTGCTGACCTTGAACTAGGAGTTGCACAGCCTGGGGCTATGAGTATCCCCACACTCACCCAATGCTTCTACCCCTTAGTAATTCCAAAGTATGGGAACATACAACACTACTCTGTATTTCTGCCTGCTCAAAAATTATCTATTGTATACAGCCCTGCTCAACAATGATGGTACCAATAAAGTTTAGATACATAATGTAGAAAATCTCCTTAAAAATTAATCAACAGTATGCAACATTATCAAGAAGTCTGCCAAGCATGGAACTGTGACGAACCTCCCTAGATGTGGGGGAAAAAAAGTGGGAAATTAATGACATAAGCCTCAATACGTTGGTGAAAATGGTGGGACTGTTTTGTATGTGACACCAACCGCTCTTTGTGTTCCGAGCAACCAGTCACAAGGATGAGCAGTGTGACAGCCACTCTCTGTGCAGCGCTGGCAGGCGTGCGGTGGCTGCCCTGATGGTGAAGAAACATCGAACTTGCTAGAATTCATTTGAAAATATTCAAAATATTTCTCACTGTCCATCATCTTCAGGTCCCACTTTCTTTCCTTTTGTTTTTTTACGGAGAGGCAAGCGATTTCTTCCTCCTAGTCCGTTGACACATGACTGAAATTGTGAGAAATTAAGGGATTTGTCACAAGAGAATTAAAATTTGTACACTTGTAAGTCTCAACCGTCTGCAGACAGTATGCGTGAAGGGACTGTTTTAAAATGGACAGCAATGAGCCCTGAGCTCAATCCCATGGAAAATATTTTGCCTGAGCTGAAGTCTGCCTTTAGGGAAAGTACCCTGCAAATGTTCAAGAGATTAAACAAACTGCAAAGGAAGAGTAGGAGAAGATACTAACTGATAAGTGTAAGAAGCTTATAGAAGGGTATAAGATATAATTGGAGGTTGTCGTTGCTGTCAAAGGGGGTTCCACCAAATATAAAGGAGGGGTGCTAATATTGCTGCCCATGCTGTGGGGTATTCAGTTTCTTTCTTGAAATTCTCATGTCTTTTTTGTTGTTTTACTTTGGATCTTCAAAAAGAAACAGATGTTAAAAAATTTAAAGTTTTCATGCATTTCTGAAGATATTGTACATGTGCAAAAAATTATGGGGTGCCAATAATGGTGAGCAGGACTGTATGCTGCCTAAAAAGCAGTGTTTTTGAACATGCCAGAATTTTCTTCTACTCTCGTTCTATTTTAGTTGTATTTTTTTTTTCTTCTTTCGGCTGCTCCCTTCTTCAGGGGGTCACCACAGCGAACTAACTCGCACAAAGACTTGGCAATTACTTTTATGCTGTATGCCCTTCCTGATGCAACCACAGACCACCGAGCTACCACAGCCCTCTGTGTGGAGCAGAGAACGGCTATCTAGGGCACCCGGGGAAGCAGATGGTGGGGGTTAAGGGGCTTGCTCAAGGACCCAGAGTGGGGAAAATGAGGGTGGAGACAGGTGTTGGTGCTTCATCAATCCCACCCACATTTTGATGTTGTCGGTACCGGGAGTTTTATTTTATTTATTTATTTATTAACTTTATTTAAGCAGGCAAATCCCATTGAGATCACAGATCTCTTTTGCAATGAAGGCCTGGGCCAAACCAGGCCTGGGAGTTGAACCAGCGATCTTCCGATCACAGGCCCACATTCTCTAAGCTCTGCGCCACCAATCCCCCTTCATCATGAATTCTATAAACTCACAAAAAACAATTCTATCTCAAGAACATAATTTTGTTCATCTTGCTGATAATTAATTTTTTAAGTTGCTTCTTTTACAGATTTTGGGTGTAATGCACAGACTGTACGACAAAGACGTTCTGTGGACCTTAAACAGGAAATCATGACTTTAGGTATAATTTCAGACATAACTTCTTTAGTCTGAGAAATTACAATGTTATTGTAAGACAGATGATATAATTGTATCTTTTTTCTTTAAATATCAGTTTCAGAGTTAAAGTTAAAACCTGAACTGCAAGACTGTTGCACTCGTGCATTTTCTCTCATCCCAATGAGAAGAACATGCGAGGAAAGAGCAACTAGGGTCCAACTAGTAAAAGGAAATCAAACATGTGTGGACGTTTTTATAAAATGCTGCAAAGCAGCAGAGAGGATGAGACAAAAAGAGATGCTAGAGGATACCCAGGGTGGACTTGGCAGAAGTGAGATGATGTACTTTAAAAATCTTTTTAAAACATAATAATAAATATTTTTTTCATGATTACCATTTAACTATTATTTTTGTTCTTTAGCTGCAACTTCAGCTGCTATTGAAATGTTCTTTCAGGAAAATTCAAAACAGTATATCCGGAGATATTTCCCCCCAAGCTTCGCATTTACAGAGTTTGATGTGGATGGCAAACATTCGTAAGAGATGGACAGTGAACTTTTAATGTTTTGATTTAATGTGGGTTTTTTTGTTTTGTTTTTTGCTGTGCTTTTTCAGTGGTAAAAATGTTTCTTTACTCTCACCTAAACTATAGTTTGTTACTTATAGTATTGTCAAAGTAAAGAAATTTCAGCTTATAAAAGGATCAAACAGGTTAACCAATGTCAGTACAAAAAAGTAAATGTATTTGTTAAAAGCATTTAAAAACCAAGTAATTTATTTTACGTGATTAAAAACTCTTAGGTATTCTTTGGCTCTACCTGACTCCATAACAACATGGGAAATTCAGGTGGTCACATTATCTCCTGCTACTGGTAAGAATAGCTTTACAAATGTTTCTAAAATATTTGACAAGAGAGCTTTTTTATATCTCACTCTTACTCTTTTAGGTTTCTGTGTGGTTAAGCCACATGAAGTCAAAGCATTTCAAGAAACATTTGTGTCTCTGAAGCTGCCCTACTCGATTAAAAAATATGAGCAACTTTCTGTATCACCTGTAATCTACAATTATGGCAAAGAACCACTGCAGGTAAAAATGACCTCACTTATGTTAGCATTTAGTCACTCTAGAAAGTTAACAAATTTGTAGATAGAAAACCCCATACTGAGTACATCAGTACATTTAAAAAAATTGGGAAACCTGCATTTCCACAGCTGGCGGTTCATATGGAACAAACTGAAGGACTTTGCTCGCCTGCTTCTGCTACTAAAGTCTCCTACGTAACAATGGATGTTAAGCCACAATCGTCACAGTTCGTTTCTTTCTCTGCTGTCCCCATGGTAACTGGATCAATACCCATTAAAATACGTCTTTATGACGTTGAAAATAATCGGGGAATAGATGCAGTGGAAAAAAGTTTGAATGTGCAGGTTAGTGGCAAAAAAATTGAGAATTATTTGTCATATCAGCAAATGGGATTAAACAAAAATAAAGAAAATACATTTTCATTTGCTTCTCTGGTAAATTCTGTTAGACAGAGGGATTAGAAGAAAGTATGGAAGAAACCACAGTAGTTAAATTAGATGGTGAGTGATATAATATTTTTATTTATACTTGCTTTATTTCTGTCATTTTTATCATTGAGTACATTTTTTCTGTCATTTTAGGGCAGAGTTCAAAGACTCTATATATTGATGGTGCTTTGCCACATGAAACAGTTCCAGACTCTAGCTCTAATATATTCATTTCAATAGAAGGTGAGGGATGACAGACACAGACAAAACAGTCAAGTTGCAAGTGATAAGTGTTACATTTTCAGTATTATCATCTACAGGGGATGGATTTGGCAGTTTACAAGCCAGGAATCTTCTTTCTCCAGAAAAGATTGCCAGTTTGATTGTACTGCCCAAAGGATGTTTGGAACAGACGATGCAAAGACTTGTACCTAATGCTTTAGCCCTCCGCTACCTCGACTTGAGTGATCAATGGTTTGACCTTCCTCCTGGCACAAGAGATGAGGCTCTTGCTAACGTTGAACGTGGTATGTCCAATATCAGAATGTTTTGAGCACATATTTTTTTAAGAGTACAGTAATCCCTCAGTTATAGCGGGGATCAGTAACCTGAAGCCCCATGATAAGTGGAAAAACTGCAAAGTAGGCGTACAAGTAGTAAGTGGTTGTTTTATTAGTATATATATATATATATATATATATATATATATATATATATAAGCGTTTTAAACCTTTCCCACACTCTTGCAATATTCTAAACAATGGTTCTAAACTAAGCACTCTAAAACAGCACAGAACGTCATGATTTCAGCTCTCTGCCTCCTCTGCTCTTTGCCACTGCAAGCGCTCTTGGCCACGCCCACTTCTCCACTCTGCACATAGATCAGCTGATTAGCTGCAGGAGGAAGCTTATCCTGCAGTGTGGGGTGAACAAAGGTGCAGCAGGTGCTATATAATTTAAAACAATTTATTTTAAATAAAAATTCCTTGCCGATCGTGCGGCTCATCCATCAATCAGCCATTTGTGTGTCATGTCCTATTTTATTTTGAAAAACTGCAATAGAGCGAGTCTGCGATAAATAAACCGCAAAGTAGCGAGGAACTACTGTATATCTATTTTTTTTCAGTCAAATTACTTTATTATCAAGATTTAAAAGTACTGTTGCATAAATCACTGACGTTTCATCATTGTAGTACACCACCTTTCTTGCAGGTTATATGAGAATTTTTGAACTGAAGAGAAAAAACTATGGGGTTTATGGAACATTCTCATCAGTGCCCTCTAGCAGCTGGTGAATATTTTCTTTACACATTTTTTTTTATAACAATCACTGAATATATCTTATGTATTAAACAATTACCTTTATTTCAGGTGTGTAATACTCTAAATCAGTGTTTAAGAAACACTTGTCCATCTTATTTTCTCTCTCTTTTCCTCAGGGTAACTGCCTATGTTGTGAAAGTTTTGTCACTGGTATCGGAACGTCAAACAGCAGTAGTTGGACAGCAGGGTCGGAGTATCAAAGCTGTACCAACAGAAGAGATAAGCCAATCAGTCAGTTACTTGCTTTATAAACAGCAGAGAAATGGGTCCTTCAAGGACCAGAACCCTGTGTTACACAGAGATCTTTTGGTAAATTATTTTTGTTGCTATAGGGTAATATGTGAAAACATTTTAGAATTACAACAAACTGAACAACTGTAATTTAACTGGTCTTTGTGTGTTTAATATAGAAAGACCAAGACACCTGGTTGACTGCTTTCATTACGCTTGCATTAAACCGCTCTCTTCCATTCCTGCCATCTAACGGTCAACTTGTAGTGGTGAGATTAATTAAAAATTACTGTCCTGGGTGAATAACGATGTGTCAATAACACAAAGCATCCCAACAACAAAAAGGTAGGTTTGACGCTTCAAAACATTACTGGATACATGGACAGCCAAGAAGCTAAAAGTCAATGTAATCTCTTTTAGAAGTAAAATTATCTTACATTTTCCTTAAACTTGAAATAACACTTCAAATTGTAAAATTACTTTATTGTTGAGGTTATTTTCATACAAAAAAATCTAAAAAATATTTTCTCAATCATATTCAAAGAGGTTACAGTAGTCCCTTGGATACTTGGTGGTTCAAATTTCGCAGACGCACTCTTTCACAGGTTTTCAACGTAAGATTATACACAACACATGATTGGCGATGGGGAAAAACAGCCTCCACCCCCGCCCCCTCCTTTCCCTTTCTGAGGTTGTCTGTCACAGTAGAGGCGAAGGGGAAAAACAGACCCCGCCCCCTGACCACTCCTTTCTCTTTCTCTGCTATGGCAGATAGCCTCAGAGAGAGAAAGAAAGGGGCAGGGGTGGGGTCTGTCTTTCCCCATCGCTACTGCTCAGTGAGCAAGGATAAACAGATCAGATGAACAAATGTAGAATATCAGAGAAAATGCTTAGGTGGAAAAATAAGAGGGAATCGTTTTTTTGTTTTTTGTTGTTTGTTGTTTTTTTAAAGAGAGAGAGTGGCTGAACGTGGCTGAGTGCAGTTCACTTAGGTATAAGATAGACCCCTGCTCCCTCCTTTCTCATTCCGAGGCTGTCTGTCACAGCAGAGAAAGAGAAAGGAGGGGGCGGGGTGAGGTCTGTCTTTCCCCATCATGTCCCATAAACCCACAACAGGCGGGCACAAAACAGACAGCCTCAGAAAAAGAGGGGGGGGGGGGGGGGCATGGTGTCTGTCTTATACCTGAGTGAGCCGCACAAGCGGCATGAATTGTTAATTTAAAATAATCAAGTTCTATCCAAACTGCTGTTTCACTGTGCTTTTTTAGAGCGTTTAGAGAGTTTAGAACATTGTTAAGAACATTGCAAAAATGTGGGAAGGGTTTATAAAGCCTTCAAATATATATACAAACTAAAATAAATACAATATCCCTACTGCGCAGATTTTCACCTATCGCAGGTGTGTCTGGAACGTTACCCCCGCGATAAGTGAGGGACTACTGCATTACAATTCATTGAATGCCAGACTAATTTCACCCCCTGAATGCATACATCCAGTATGTAATGCCAAAAACAAACCATCAATAAGATGGGAATTCTACTTTGACCATATGCCATCTCAAAAATTACTGCTAATGACTTTGGTAATCCTGTTTGTGGTCTTCTTCCATCAACAAGTCAAAAAAAATTGTAAAATTTGATTTATGACATTTATGACACAAAAATGACATACTTCTAATTAATAAAGATGCAAGTCTTAGTTTGGTGGGTCAATACAGATTTCCAATTCTAGTTCAGCTTTTAACAGAGAATACAAATTTTATGTTCTTATAATTTGATCAAGACTCAGTACATTTATTGCAAATAAAACTAGGTACAGAAAGTTAAATGACTGTTTTGTGTTAAATTCTAACAGGAAGCACGTATATTAAGAGCAACAGCATATCTCCAGTCCCAACTTGCAGAGCTGAACCATACCTATGTCTTGGCCTTATCAGCCTATTGTCTCTCAGTCTGTCTACCACAAGAAGCAGATCGATTACCTGCATGGAGAAAACTTCAGTCAAGAGCAATAAAAGGCATGTCAATTCTAATATACAGAATTTAGATTAAGTGCTCAGTCTAATGTTTCAAATTAAATTAAATTAAATTTTACATTGTATAACCTTGTCAAATACTGTATGTAATATTCAGTTAAGTTTAAAATGTCCAACTAATCCCAAAAATATCCCATTGATGGAAAAATATATGTAACATTATTGTTTTCAACATTGTCAAATACCTATTTGCACTTATACAAAGTTCACAGCTACTGCTCTGATAAAGATGTATATTTATATATTTGTTCATACTGAACAACTCAAACAGCTGCTCTACTTACTGTAGTAAAAGTTTAGTTTAATTGGTATTTTAATCACTGTTTGTAATTATCAGATGAGAATCACTGCTACTTCTGGACTGACAATCCCAATTCAGCAAATCAAGATGTTGCAGATGCCATCACGATAGAGACAACAGCCTACGCCCTTCTGACTGCTGTGGAATTTGCAAATTATGAATGGGCAGATCAAATAGCCTGTTGGTTAACCAGCCAAGAAAACTATTTTGGAGGCTACAGATCAACACAAGTGACTATACTGAGTGCCTTAAAAAACTTTTTTTAGAATGGCAGTTCCTAATTATTATGCAATCTAATGTTATATACTGACCATTGTTTATGCTGGCATATTATTTATCAAAGACAATCTTTAAACATGTTTCTTTCTTCTTTTTTTTTACTCTGTAAAGGACACCGTCATGGCGCTTGAAGCCCTGTCAGAGTATGAACTAAAAAGGCCCAGACCAGATGGAAATATAAAAGCAGAGTTCACTGTTCCAGGAAAGAATGAAATTGTAACACTTGCGTTGCAAAATAAAAATTACAAAGTGGAAACAGACTTGAAGGTATCGTAAATGTTTCATGCAATACTGTACATTCGGATGTGTATACGGACGGACGGACGGACGGACGGACACAGACAGACAGACAGACAGACAGACAGACAGACAGATAGACAGATAGACAGATAGACAGATAGATAGATAGATAGATAGATAGATAGATAGATAGATAGATAGATTGATTGATAGATAGATAGATAGATAGATAGATAGATAGAAAAAGAGAGAGAGAGAGAGAGAGATTTTTTCCAAATCTTATCTTCTTTCTTCTGTGATTGTTGGCACAGATACTTGCTGGGAACAACATTACAGTACAGCTGACAGGAAAAGGGGAGTTTAAATTGAAAGTAAGTCTTATTCATTTCTCTCCTTTGTATTTCATGAATGAAATCTATAACTGACAGTACATTGTTCCCTCTTTGCCAGACTGTAAAAGTCTACCATCTGTTAGACCCAGAGGACGACTGCAGACAACTTTCTATCAGTGTCACAGTGGAGGGGAAAGTGAAGTACACTGGTGAGTTTTAGTAAAAATGCATTGTAACCACCAGTAAAACTGACCACTTACAGTTGTCTCTACTTTTAACAGATAAGATTGTGGAAAATTATGACTATTTTGATTATGATGACACTGAGGTAAAGAAGGCGCAAGAGGCACCATCTGTGATTGAGCATTTAGATGCTCTCACAAGAAGCAGGAGAGATGTTGAAAACAGCATAAATTCAGACAACACTGTTACCTACACTGTCTGTGTCAGGTTAGTTAAGTGCTCCTGTCAAATATTCACAACATTGAGATTTTAAAAAGTTGTTATTGATCCAAGTCTTTCTTAACTTTTTTCTTCAAAGTCTTAACCCAAACACTGTTCTATCAGGAATGGCTATTGCCGACATCACACTGCTCAGTGGATTTGAAGCTAAAACTGAAGATCTTGACAGGGTTTGTAGATTTATTTTTACTTTTTATATTAACGTCATTATCATAAGAAAGTCACATTAATTCAAGCTCATGTGGTTAAATCATATCTTTAGTTTGAGAGGACAAAACTTGTTAATAAACCATGCCAAAAAATAAAGTAAATGTAATAGATTGTGTTGATGACAGCTCACTAGTACTTCAAGTCCCATCTCATTAACTAAAACCATCTATCAGTTTCACCTTTAAATTAACTTCAATGCCAAGGTTTTTACATATTTTGACAACAAAAATACAGTTAATATAAAAAAAAGTACAATTTAGCTGTTTTGGTACATATAATTTTCTCCAAACGCAAATACAAGATGTGCAAGAAAAAATATTTTTTAAGTACCACATGCACACATAATAATGAATTCTAAAGAGTTTACAGACTTGCTTGTTCTGAAAAAAGCAGCAGAGCTCAATCAGCTACAATACAGGAAAAATACACATATATACATAAATAAATTACATCCATCT